AAAGAAAGTTTTGTTTATGTTTTAAACCTTGGAAGTTGCTTGCAATTTAAGAAAAAGGATTAAAAACAATCACAGTTTCCATGGAAAATCATGTATAATGAAGTGTGAAGGTATGGGAGTAAGCATTTTGCAGGCATAACTACGGCTAAACCAGTCACAATATACTCCAGAGGAAACTTCTCTGGGCCTGGCAGCTTTAAGCTAATTATTACCTATCTGGAGAGATCGTTTTGCGGTGCCCTAGGTATCGACGGTGGCCCTCAACTGCTCTTGCCATGTTCCCCGAGTATGTTGGAACAAAAACATCACTCTCAATTGAAATAATATAATCAAGTGCAGCACTCTGCGAAGCATGATTGATGAATGGCTTCAATTCTTCCTCTGTTGCAAGTGTTTCCTGTTAGGAGACCACAATTAGCTACACAATTGCACCAAATTTGTGGGTTGACATAATAATACCACTTCTTATCGAGGATCTAAAAATTTATGGTAGACTAACTTTGGTAACAATGTTAGGAAACCGAGAAGAAAGCTCAGAAAGTCGAGTATCGCCACCATAGATCTCCCCAGCTGCAATGTAGATTAATGTTGATGGAAGATACCCAAGAGCTTGCAGGAATATTCCCACTTCCTTCGGAGTCAGAGGACAAAGGCCCTCTATTCTTTGTTGCGTTGAGTTTATATTTTTGATCTTCCAATGTGGCGTTTTCTCCCTAGAAAAAAATAACAACATTGAGCAATATAAGAAGGATGAAGACTGAAAGAACTCCACATACTTTATTTTTAGAGCATTCCTACATAATTTCACCTCATTATTTCTAGCTCTTCGGCTTCAAGATGAGTCAAACCATAAGTACAACCCGTGAAGGATAGCATGTCTTTCTCATATCTCAAATGAAGGGCAATATATCTTCCTCCACGCAATCGAAGCCGCTCGACCAGCTTCTGTGGTGTCACCGTGATGCATGCTCAGTACCTAATTTAGCAGGAAGCCCCATAGGAGACCTCTTAAACTTATAGATACTGGAATAAAAGTTAATTTGACGTTCATTATCACTCCACTGTCAGATGAATTTCTCATACAATTCTAGATGAGCTTTTTCAAGGATTTTGAATCCCTTTCCAGAGTAATGTTATTTTGATGCATTTATGAAAGCTAAACCAATTCAAGAATTCAAATATCTCCAACATGTTCGATGCTTGAACACTGGATATAGGCATTAAATTATTAGTGAAGCAGGTGCTAACATATATCTTAAAACCAGCAACAATCCAGACCTTCCCGAAGTTCTCAATTGGTGGAGCAAAATGAAGGGCTTCATACATTGCACGACATCTGAGTCTCTGAATATCCAGGGGCAGATCATTATTTGCCAATCGAGAATCAGATTTTGCGACATGAATGACCTACAGAAGTATACTCGATAAGACAGCTGCATATTCTTCCTAGAAATTATTAACAGTCCAAGTAGAGGGACAATCAGAAATCAAACAAATGAAACCTTTTCCGTTGAAAATAGGAAGTAAATAATTTAACAAGAGTACATGCTCATGCGCGCGCACACACACACACATACATACATGCAGGACTACAATTGTATTTCAAATTAGATGTTACAACCAATCAAGCTATCATAAAGATTCTACAGAGCTTCAGAATGATACTACAGATTAAGCTCTGTCTAGAGGAAAGGAGCTCCTTGGATAACATTCACGCTTTTTTTTCTTTAGTGGTTGGACCTCTTTTTCACCACTGCATTTAAACTAAGGATGGTAATTAACATTAAAAAATGGAGGAATCCACCTAAAAACAGGTTACTAAAGAACCAGAAGATTCCTTGTTTGAACTTCAAACTCATATATACAAGATTTTCAAACAGTCAAATACCTGATAATCTTTCCATAACCGTGTCATTTCTTCATAGTAACCAAAGCCAGCCCATGAAGTGAAATGCTTACGAGCATGAGGAATAGACTCCAATTCCTTGGGGAGCTCCTTGACTATTTTAATATCACTTTGTAAGGTTTTGATAAAGTGATGTTCGTCGAAAATATCTGAAAATGTACTGTAAAATGACTTAGAGGGGTTAAATTAAAAATGCAATCAACAACCAACTGATCGACAAATTGGCATGAAAACATATATCTAAGTACCTTGTATCATGCCAAAATGAACGTTTATCCAATTGAGGGATAACCAAGGTCCCATTCATAATGTGTGCCACAGCCACCATGTCAGAAATCTATTCATAAAAAAATAAAAAAAAATTAAAAAAATTAAAAAAATTAAAAAGTTATCCAAATTTGCATGTCATGATTTATTTCTTAGACAGTAGATAAACCAAAGTACGCGGTCTTACGTGAAAGTAATAAAAATTTCACTAGGGATGGTGCTTTGAGGGCAGGGTAGTGATATTCCCCTAATTATTAGTATCTATAGCAGATAAAGAGTAAAGGGGGACCAAGCAGGTTGATATATCGACAAGTATGGGCTCCATTGTAACTAATTTAGTTAGCAGGCAGGAAGAGGAATGAACCTAGTACGTATATTGGGTAACTGATGTAAGAGGGAGGGGTAATGATAGGTCATGGAAGGATATTTGGGACCAAGTTTTTCTTTTGTTTATTCTCTTTTCTTGATCGCAAACATGGGGCTCCTTTTTTGTAATTCTACTGTAACAATATGTTGGTTAGGCAGGCATTCTTTTCATTATTGAGGCTCTCCTGTGTGCTACTACTAGTCTTGACAAAAGTTGGTTTAATCATTAAAAAAAAGGTAAAAAAATGAAGAATATAAATGCTAAGAGTTGCTACAGCTAAACCAATGTATAATCTGAACACAAGTACACGTAATAAGAATTAACTTCATTGTTTAGCTTCGAAATGTTTGTAATCAACTTAGTTTTACACATAAAACTAGATGGCACTCCATCCGTGGGAATATTTTATCAATTTCCGATCATAAGTAACAAAGTCAGCAACTTACACCAGCTCGCATTTGATTTAATCCCCCATTACTTCTCACTGTGATGTAACGATCCGAGGTTTGGGCAGCTGGAACAGTAACCAGAAATTAGAATAGAAGGGTCTTTTTCTTGGTGATTGTGTGCACCAATTAAGTTTCATCAATTGCACAGGAAACATAAAAATGATGATGGCTTGGTGGTTTGTGTGGGGGCATGCACTATGAGTTCTCATCGAGTGATATAAAAAATAACCAAAAGCTAAGAACTATAAAGGTTATCAAAGTTACTGCAAGTTCGCATACAAGATTATTAGTGAAATTAACATGGACTATGAATGTAGTGCTTTGCATAATGTTAAAGTAAATCAATACAAAAATCCACAGGATAATTTTTTGAACAAGAAACAATTCAGTGATAATCCCTTCACTTGTTTCCTATGAAAAAAAAGAAATCTACTAGATAATCAGAATCTTAAATCTCTTTCTTTAAACTTCAACAACAAATGAGAACACGACCACTATTTGAACATGCTTGCTATCCAAAACTGAAGGAAGCAAGGGACAAAGTTACCTCCATATCTTGAGGTAGGCTTGACACAGGGATGGAACCCGTGACTCGATGGAGCATCCCATAGGTGATTAACTGATTTCTTCATAAGAGAGAAAAATTAATTTAGTTACTACCCTTTTGGATTAGAAGATACTTTCATGTTCATTAAATTTTGAAAAAAAAAAGATAAAAAAGGGAGCTAGCTCCAGTGCAATTACTAAATTATTGAAGCTGTAGAAAACAATTTAGCAGTAGGCTCGGTGATTTAAGCTAGAGTATTTGTTATTCACCCTTTGAATAATATTGAATCTTGGAAGATTACTTCTCCAGTCCCCATCTTTAAGGTTCTATTTAATGAACGAAAAATTTACATTACCTCACGGTTGCTCTTATTTAATCCTCTTCTTCAATCTAGCTAATTAGCTTGCAGAATCTATATATTACATGGAATTACAAATTAAATTTTATAACAGAATAAAGTTGCAAAAGAGTTACAATAGACATTCATTTAACTTTGCATCAACTCTTTGGTATCCTTTATTTTGTTAACCAGTTCATCTTGTTTTCCAAATCGACAGAATAAAGAGCCTAGGATGGTTTTCACGGCCAGTCGGAAAAAGTTGCAGCTTATGCAGCCAAATTAATCCGCGGTTATCAGACTTCATTTAAAACACTTCTCATAAATTCGTGTGCATGTAGTTTAAATCCAAATTACCAGATCCCAGGCATCAGCCATCTCGAAAATAAAAGGTTCATCATGGAAGTGTAGCGACGAAAGCAAAAAACTAAACTAATTCTGGCATCAAATCAAAATATCAAACAATAACAATTACACTATAACAACAAATTACAACGAAAATTAGACGAAGAAAACACCCTACCTGCTCAGATTTGGCCTGAGAATGAGACGGAAATTCCTCTGGCTCTGGAAACAGCGGCTTCTGTTCATCTTCCAGTACATTTCTGGCGCAGAAGAAGAAGAAAACGAAGATCGAAGATGCAAAAATGAAAATCAAACAGAGGGAAAACGCAAAAGGGGATGATTTTCGTAGAAGAAATCTGGAATTCGATGAGGCCCTATGTTGGGCAAAGCTTCGATTCACCATTTCAACTACAGATCTCAATTGTTCTGCAACAATTTTTGGCGTGTGGAGGAATTTGGCGCAAAGAATTAGCTCGATCCTACTGAAAAAGATTCCCGAGTCAGCTTAAGATAATAAATACGAGCCATTGCGCTCGATGCTTACCTCCGAAATAGGTTCCAAAGTGAATTGTCGGAAGTGGAAAATGTGTTCAATATATCAGAGGAAACTAAATTTTGATTTCTCAAATTTAGAGTTTTAAATAATAAATTAAAAAAAATTATTTAATATTTTTAATTTAAAATATATTTATTAATTAAATTTTAAATTTTGTTCTATCAAATCTTTAATTTATAGTTAAAAAATATATATATATATATATATATATATATTCACTTTTTCTTTTTTTCATACACAAAAACCTCTGATAAAACTTCATTCAGTACGACCACCGTTCGTCTGTTTCCTCACGAAGGTGAGAAGCGCGCCAGACAACCAGAAAGAAGAGTAGAAGGCGTTCTCAAATGCTGGAATAATGATGTTTATGGCATCAAACGCACTTGATTCATCCAATTTTATCATCCTGTTCTTCCCACTGCTTCATCTCTTTGTCGAATTAAGCTAGTTTCATCCTGTTCTTCATCGTGTAGCAATCATGGTTCAGCTACCAAAGATCGCTCCCGAAACCGCATTTCTACTTTCCAGAAGTTCTGTAATCATCGAGTTTTCACTTCAAAAGCTTCAAGTTCGGACACGGATGCGGTGGTAGCGTCCACAAATGTGGAGGAAGACGTCGAGTCTGCTCAGCTATTCGAGGTTTTTCCTCATTTATGCCTTTAAATTTGGATTGATGTTTATAAATGAGATATATGAGAACATCAAGAGTAATTTAATGTTCGCACGCATTTTACTGAATATGTGGAAGAGGCTGACATGTTACTTGACGTTGAACACGAGAGAAGTGGTCTCCAGCTCCTGAAATTGAAAGTTATGTTCAGGAAACGAACTTCTACTTCACGATTAAAAGTAGCATTGCGTGGAAGGCGTTTGATGCAATAATCGTTCTGTTTGTGGTCTTTAATTCTGCAATGACTCCGTTTGTTGAGCAGACACCGTCGTTTCTAATGAGAATCAATAGATTAGTCATATGTTTGGCTGTCAGCGATTCAACGCGTGTCTGCACATATGTTTATCAACAATTTAAGAACTTCTTTCCTAGGTTTAGCCGATACTGATTTGATTCTCGAACTTTTTTCTTAATCTCATGTATGCGAGTCTTGAGTTTTTCAGAAATTAAAGGATGCTGAGCGACAACGGGTAAACAAGTTGAAAGAGCTTCAGAGGAAGGTGAATTTGCAATTAGAGAGGCAGCTTGTAATGGCTTCTAGTTGGTAGGGCCTTACTGACCATGCGGGGAAAATTAAAGGGAACTGAAAGAGATCCCGAGAACTCGCACAAAATTAATTTGAGTGATTGCAAGCAATGTCCAGTTCATTGAGTACTCAAATTATGGCCAAACAATGTCAGGTAGTCTCAGTACATTCTCTTTATATTTTAGAACGCGTGCACATTTTTCTTGTTTAGTTTATTTAGAAGCAAGAAAAAGGAAAAAAGAAAACAAAAAAAAAAAAAAAAAAAAAAAAAAAAAAAAAAAAACTCCACTGTAAAAAACGAAAGAGATATTACAAAATTTCTTGTGCCTTTTAAGACATTTTTGTTGTAAATTAGCTTTTAAGACATTCTTGTTGTTCTATGTCTCTAACACTCTCTGTTGCGTTATATCTTTGGATTGATAACTTGATGAGACCAATATATGCAAGGTTGATACCTTGTGATCTGGGAGTTCCTAGGAAGATAACTATACCACCACTCAAGCGCAGTGCACTTGGATCTTTGGAGAAGAGTCGGTAAAGAAACATCCTTGATCAATTTTTTGAACATTTCCTGTCTGATTTATGTAAAGTTTGTCCAGTTGGTTAATAACTCTGCTTTAGTCATTTGTTTGTTGGATCATATCATTTTTAGTTGGTTTAGATTAAAGTTTTTCTCGATTTCTTTTCACAAGGTTTTGTACACACCACATCATAATTAATATTTATAAACGAGAAGCATTTTCTTCCTTTCATTTATGCTTTGTTCGTATTGTTTAAGAATTCTATAAATTAGGACGCTGTTAACTTGAAAGGAGGGGATTGTGATAACTGGAGAAGTGGGCAAAGTGCATTGTTTATGCTAACCAAAATTACAACGCAACTAAGATGTGTTTGTTAGGTTGAATGGCACTGTGACCTATATGGGTCGCGATCTCATGTATTTATAGATGTGTATAATGAGAATTACATTGCAACAAACCATGAAATCATAGATTTGGTAACAAATAACAAGTAAATCAGTATATTATTTTACTATGTACAGATATGATCTATTCTATGTTTAATAGTGTTATTTTATTTTTATTTTCTTCTAGATTCTGAAGTATAATACAGAGGATTCAATGTCCTCGTGAAGTTTTCTCTCGGGAGGGAACTTGGGGAGGAGATTGGCAATTTTTTTGGCAGATTCTAAATATGATTTATGTTTGCATACTATTGCTGCTAACTTAGCCTCTGCATTGGCACACTGGTTTTCTAATGTTAAGATCTGACCATTACTGTAATTCTCCTTTTCGAGTAGGTTGGCGAGGTCTTTTTTCTTCAGAGTCCAGCTCCCAGTTCTCAAATTGAAGGCATACAAGGGAAGGAATCTTTGTCCATAATCAGCTATGAATTCCAAAGCTTTTAAAATGAACTCAAACTCCTCATTTGGCATGTAGTAGGGAAAGCTTACTCTTGTCCATCCAGGTTTTATTCCAGCATACCCCTGTTAAATTGTTAAAGATCAAATTCAAAGATTCGGGACAAATCTAATTGTTTCATGGTATGCAGAATTGAAAGGTCAATCTGATTATACCTTAGCAATGGCAGATCTGTACGCGTGCGAGCATGCTTCATCAATGTTTAGCAGTTTGTGACCATAAGGTCCCGCACAACTGCATCCCCCACGAGCCTGAATGCCGAACAGGTCGCTCAGGAGTGCTGCAACAAAAGGACCATGAAGAGGTTTTGCTCTCATACACCCCATCTCTCCCCACATGTAAAGCTTTTCATCCTTTTCTCTGATGTTAGTTGTACATAATTTATCTGTGATACAGTTGAGCGACGAGTTCGTCGAAGAGTAAATGATAAAAGATAATATGGCCTGTCGCTTAGAAGACGTCCTCCCTAAAATGCAGATGTTTCTATTCTGGTGAAGTTTCTTCAAACCCCTTTCTACATACTGGTGCTCTCGCTTCTCTATCTCTTGGTAGGTGATGTATTCTTTTACCCAAAAAGCCAAAGCTGCTCTAATTATTCCTATAATCTGTGGTGTTCCACCATTTTCCCTCTCTTCTATGTCTTCATAATACAGTGTGTCCTGCAGAAAATTTTCCAGAGAACAAGGAAACGCATCAAAATATGCCGAATTTTCAGTTTCGACCAATCGGATTCTGTTCAAAACACAATTTAAATTGGGTGAGTTTTTCATTTACCTTTTCACTGAAGCCATTGACATAGTTCACAGTGCCACCCCCACAAGTTGATGGAGGAGATGATTTCAATTTATAAAGACTTTTGTTCATCAGAAGGATTCCAGGTGAGCCAGGTCCTCCAAGAAACTTATGTGTACTTAAGAAAATAGCATCATAGCCATCGATTTCCCCCGACCGCATATCAATTTGCACGTAAGGACCACTGCACCACAAACGAACAGATTCAATAATCATTCTTAGTTGATGCTTTGATTCAAGTTAACGTGTGAAATTCAGGTACCTTGCAGCAAAATCAAAGCAAACATGGCCTCCATATTGATGAAGAAGTGTAGAAATAGCTCTTGTATCTGAATAAATTCCAGTGACATTACTACAAGCTGAGAAAGATCCCAAAATTGGCCTATTTCCAGCTTTCTTATATGCCTCAAGTTGAGATCTGAGCATCTCAACGTCTAAAAGCCCATTCTCATCCATTCCAATCTCCACCACCTCAGCCAAACTCTGCCGCCATGAGAGGAGGTTGGAGTGATGCTCATAAGGTCCAACAAAAACTACCCACCTTTCTTCTTCCTTTAGGGTCTCTATTACCCTCTCCCTCAGAATGGATGGCACTGCAATGCCCATCACCTCTTGCAGTCTTTTAATGGCAGACGTTGTGCCTTGTCCACAGAATAGAAGTGCTTCTTCTTCTCCACCGCCCAAGTACCTCTTGATGTACGTCGTTGCATCGGTCACCATCTTTGTTGTATGCTGGCCTACGTAGCTGTCGCATGTGTGCGTGTTGCCTGCAGATATGGTACGTAATCCATTGGATTACTTTATCAGTTGTTCTGTTTGATAATAATTTTTCTTCTTTTATATATATATATATACACATTTTGAGTTCATCCTGTGAGTGTTGGATGATGAAAGTCTCGTATCGACTAATTTAGGGAATGAACATGGGTTTATAATCAAAGAATATTCTTTCCGGTATGAGGCCTTTTGGGGAAACTCAAAGCAAAGTCATGAGAACTTATGCTCAAAGTGGAAAATATCATACCATTGTGGAGAGTCATGTTCGTCTGTCTAACCGTGTTGTTTGTATAACCGTGTTGTTTGTATATATGCAGAATCAGATAATGGCATGATATAATGCATAATATGCATGAATTGATATAGCCAACCCCTTCTAAGTTCTAAAATCAGAATTTAAATGTTAGATAGAGAAATATAGAACTAACCATAAAAGGGAAGAACGTTTCTGAGGATGAAATCTTCAATATAACGAAGAGAACGACCAGAAGCTGTATGATCAGCATAACACAATCTCCTTTCTCCAAATGGAGAATCAAACTCTGCATCTCCACCTATAATCTGAGAACGCAACCAATCAAGCCTTTCCTCCACCTTGCCGGAGAAAGGAACGCCATCGATCTTCACCGTCTGAAACGTCCTCGACCGACTGCAAACTTGATAATCTCCGTCGCCAGTATGGACAGTGCTGCCACTTTTTTCATCTTCTCCGGCGGCTTCTGCATACACTCTGGCACTCCTGTAAGTTTCACCGACATGGGGAGCTTTTCTCAACGTGGGCTTCTCCACCTTCAACTCCATGGCTTTAGCTTTAGAAGAAAAACAACGAAGTTATAAATAAGTGAAGTTGTGGACGGTGGACGAGGTTTTGGAAAGCTTGGAAAGTTTGGATTTCCGGTGGGTTTATACACATTTTCGGCCGTTTGATTGGACAACAAATAGATATTTGAAAATAATAAGCCTTAGAATAATAATAATAATAATAAGATAATTGTATTTTATAATATTAGATTTCCTAAAGTGCTCGTTTGGTCTTCTAGAAAAACATCTCGAATTTAATCATATATCTTATAAAAATTGTGAGTTCCTATAATGGTGTTTTTTAAGTTCACAATTCTGAATCGTCACTTTTTTAACTTCACTATTTTGAATTGATTTTTTCTTTTTATCTTACAAGGTTTCTCTATTGGAGCTTCTTTAGGTCGGCTATTCTTGGATCCCAATTTTTTTTCAGGGTTCATAGATTTTGATACCATATTAAATAAACATGAAATTTCGTCTAAAAATAAATCGGAAATAAAAGGAATAACTCATGTATTAATGAGCAAGTGTGAAAATGGGTGTCTATGTATATGTTTTGTTTTGTGAAATTAATTCTACAAACTCTTTATTCTAAAAAAAAAAAAACTCTAGAAATATTTTCTAGAAAAAAAATCCAATTTATTATATAAACATGAAAAAAAAAAGAAGAAGAAGAAATAAATGTAAAAAAATAAATTGATAAATTTTAATACAGACCCACGAGTTTAAAATTATCTCAACCTTCAAACAAAAATACTAATAAAATAATTTTATATCCACGTTAAATTATTTAATACAAGAGGTCCATTATAATTTAATTATAATTATATAAATAAAATAAAATCTTGGTAGAAAAAATCAGGTGGCGACGTTTGGGAAAGGCAGAACATTGGAAATACGAAAATGGGTCCAATTTTGCAATTGGAAATTGTTTAATAAAATAATAAATAAATAGGAGATTTGGAAAATTGGATCTCCCACAGCAACACGGTTGCTTGGTTTCCTTTTTTTTAATATTATTTTATTTTTTAAAATAAAAAATAATTGTCAAAGCATTGAACATTGAAATTTGAAAATTGTGAAAATTGACCAATATTGTAAAATTCTGCCGTTTTAAACTTTTAATTTCATAAATGAAACCATATTTTTAAATGTATTATTTTTATATATATGAAATAAATCTCTAAATTTTAAAAATTAAAATGGATGAGACTTGTAAGAATAATATTTATTGGATTATTTAAAAAAAAATTAAATCTCACAACTTTAAAAGTTAAAATTGATTTATGTATTATAATTATTATTTAATTACAAAGACCGCACGTAAAAATGTGAATCACATGTATTATCCTAACACATATTATGATAATTACCCATTTAGTATCATGAGACGCTATGATAGGCTCGACTCGTCTCAGCTCATTTGGGTAAAGTCTTCTAGCATTCCCGCTTATGCACCATAAGAGAATTGGTACAACTCAGTAAAATAGGTTAATGGTTCACCATAACTACAGGAAAAATTATTTAATTTTTTAAATTAAGAAATCATTGGTTCGATTTTTCTTGAATATTAATATTATTCCAGTTAAAGGTATGGTTTACAAGAATTTTGATATTAAAAATGCCACGTCATTTATTTGCTTAATAATGGAAATTGATTTTAGAAGCTAAAGCATTCAAACCATGGAATTCAACTTTGAGTTTCTTGAAATTCCAAATCAAATTGAATCCATTTTTAAATTAAAAATAAATAAAATATGGATCCCTTTATAATTGGTTCTCTTTATTTATTATTATCATTATTATTATTATTATTACAAAAAGAGCCACAACCATGTTTATTACTTATTAGACCCTATAATGCTTCATGAATAAATCCATTTAATGTTCAAAATCAATCTATTTTTGTAAAATTTTGTTTTTACTACGTATTTTTTTACTCGAACCTACTATGAACTAGCTCCAATTTTTCAACTTTTTTCTTCTATTTTATTTTTTACATATTTTTCTTCGACGTGTAATACAGAACAAGAAAACTTAACTATAAAAACATGTTTGAACGTATTTCAAATTTATAAATTTCGAGGGAAAAAAAAAAGTCTAAGTAGAAAGAACAAAAACGAAGAAAAATGAGAAAAAATCGTGGAGAAAGATTAGATTATATATACGTATATATACATACCTTGAATTAGAAAGGAGGTTGTGTTGTTGGCTTTGAAATGGGATGATCTCTTACTCTTAGACAGCTTTATGCCCATTTTGTAATCTGTTTTAGAACAATCTCTCTATCTTTTTGGTTCATTCTCCAAGAGAGTTGGAGTTGGAAGGGTATTTATACCAAAACAAGATGGGTGACATGATCTTTGGGGAAAGTGATGAGATGGGTAGCTCTCCAACTTTGACCAATCATTTTAGATATCAAAAAACTATGGTGGGCTAAGCTTAATGATATCATTTTAATATTGCTTCCATATTCAACTTAACCCTCTGACATTTTTCGATAACATGACTGTGTTATTTGCTTGTTATTTTTAAGAGGGAAGATTACTGTTCCTATAAACCAATACGAGAGTTATTTTAATATGCTTTGTTTCTCACTTACATATTTTCTAGAAAAAAAAAACTTTTAGAAAGGTCACTTAACATAGAATTGATCCTATGCTTATTTTTAGAAGTTTTTATAATTGAGTCACTGAGAAAGAAGATGTAGACTTGGGCCACTAATAAGGAGATAAGATCAACCAATTATAGTGGAGATGATCCCTTCTTTTGTGTGAGTGGGATGCAGGACTCTTGCTTCATCCGCCCGTTTGACTTATGGCATCATCGACTTGTTTTTCAACCTAAGTGATTTCATAACTCGAAAAAAAGATCTCTTTTGGGATCAGCCCCGTCAAAAGAAGTTATGCACCTTCACCAAATGTTAATGAAAGCAAGTCATTTCATCCCTCTCTCATCTACCGAAAAGAGGGTCGAGGGTAGCACGTTCTTTTTTGGGACCTATGCGTAGGCTATCACAAACGCACCTTTAAACACTTTATGAAGTGCATAACCCTATCGACTTTCTGCTAGGGAATGACACAATCATTGTTGATATAAGTAGTAATTTCAATTCTTGTAAATCTTTCTCAACCATTCTATTCTCAAGATCACTTTATATTTGAATGTGATATTGGTTCGTTCATGTACCCTTTCTACTCGAGCATCACAAGAATTCATGTCAATTATTATTGAAGTATGATTATTAAGACCCGTATACGATCTCAAATCTAAATCATTAGGGGTATTTATGTTAAATTACCTACTCAAAGAATTTGAGGGTGTCATATACTTATTTAATTAAAATTAGGCAAATGATCTAAATTAGCCTTTTTTGGCCACATGAGTCATATAAACTTATATTTTTAAATTGCATATTTAATATTTTAAATAAAGGTGTATTTATTGCTTCTGACCAATGAGAGATAAGCTGGCCGATTTAGGCCATTTTCCTTCATTGTCACCTAAAGCAATAAATAAAGCCTTCATTTAACTTATTTCCTTATGTCAACGTCCAATATTTTTTTAATCAAAATAAAAATCTAAGAAAAGTAATAAATTTTTTTTTTTTTTATTTTAGGATTTTTGGCCGCTTAAAACTCGTGCCTACTGCCGATTTGACTTAACCGATCGACAGACGTTTAGGTCGCACGAAAAATGGGTGCTTATGCGAGAGAGAGAGAGAGATAGAGAAAAAAATGATCGAGGGAGAAACTCACTGATGCGAAAGAAGATGACGACAAAGTGATCCGAT